CATTCTTTTGTTTTGTCAGTTTCATTGTGATTACGCGCCCTGTCTGTTGGACTCCTTTCATCTGCGCCTGTAGATTTTTTCTGCTGCGTCTGTGTTGTGCTGAGTTGTGTTGCACGGCGAAAAGACCGCCGACAAACCCCGCGATTTGCGTCACCGACGTGGGTCAAAGCCAATCACTCAGCCAGGTGCACGGTTCACTTGTCAGATCCCCGCGCCTCAGCGGCTTGTGCTTCTTTTGCTTCTGCGTTTTTCCTGCATGCCCAATCAGCGGAAAGTTTTGTTGGGTTTTCTTCTGCATCTTCGAAACAGACCGCGTCAGCGTGTCACTGTCTGTCTCCAATCGAGCGACTTGGCTGGACCACGACCCTAGGAGCTGCATCGCTAACGAATGCTATCACAGATATGGTATTACAGGCTTGAAAGCACTCGCACGGCAGAAGTTCGCCCAGGAGCTTAACCTGCACCTCGATAGTCCCGACTTTGCGGAAGCATGCCAAGAAGCGTACGAGTCCACCTTCCACACTGATCGTGGTCTGCGTGACGTGATCATTCAGGCCTTCCGCGCCAACCAAGGCCTGTCGCAGCGAGAGAATGTCGAGCTGATGTTGAGGGACACTCCCAGTCTCACTTTCGAGCTATTCCGCATGGCTAGCGGTCAGCCGATCGCTTCATGAGAGTGCATAGAACTTCCAATCATCACAACCTCCAGAGGCACGTCGTCACGGTGCACCTCGACTTCTTCAAACTAGTCAAGCTCTGCCTAAGCGCCAAAACCGCCACGGCTCGGTCGTCGTAAGCTTCCTGCCTCACTGTGAGACCGCGATTGACAATGGCATGGTGATTGTCCAACCATGGCCTTAACGTCCTCGGAAACTGCCCCCGGCCAATTACCGGAAAGGAGTGCACCTGAAACACTCGTTCCCTACGAGCTGCAGTCAGCCCGCAATTGCATGAGCGGTTACCGGGCACGTCAGCGGCGGACAAGGTTCGCCAAGCTTCTCACCACTTCGGGCCGGTCACCGAGTGTATGTCTCGCCAATAAGCGATAACGGGGAGTTCTGCTGTGTTCGACGGCGGGTATAGCGAAGCGAGAAAACTTGCTGTGTATTCCCGAATGTATGATTAGCGGCTTTGGGTGGATATCTGGTCGGTCAAAAGTGTAAATCTTACTTCACGAGCTAGGAGCCGCTTTGTCGAATTCAAGACATTCAGGATGTCTCGTTCGTCATAGTCAGATCTCGCGTGCGTTCTCATTGTGGTAATCTTTCGTGGTGTGTCTTCTTCTCGCCTTTCTTGTGCATAAATGTCCTCTCATTGCCTTCCCCTTCTATTGCTAACTTCCCCAACATATGTCTCCATCGGCCCATGCCGTACATGTTCACGATGCAGATTTCCGACAAACCACGCGTTGGCCCCAGGAACCTATCACCGTGGTTTACAAGCTTTCCTCTATCTAATGATCGCTCTTGCCTCCAATTGATGTGACGTAAGTGAGCTAGTGCACCTGGCTCGCGACTTCCTCGCTTACGGCGCCCGCCCTCTCATCTGCTACAACGTTTCTGTGTTCTTGGTCCTGTCCTTACCAATTGGACGTCCTTTCATCGCTTCGGCGCATCGCGATGGAGATCATGCGGGGCTCGACGACGGTGACGGACACGACAAGGTGAAAGTGAAAGTTCTATGTCAGCTATTGCCTACCCCCAAACACATCGAATCAATTGCGCAAGACGCGTTGTACCGAACACCCGCGATTCCCTATGTCTTAGATCGCGATCACCGCATGTCGCGCATCGCAATGCTGGCTTTGGCGCTGGTTCAGCGCCCAGAACTCGCTCGAAAAGTCCTGGATCTCAGATTACTGCCGCACACAGCGCCCGTCAACATTGGTGCACAACTCCTCCATGCAGGCGCCATTGGAAATCGCACGAGCCAGTTCAGCATCTTCATGAAGGAAATGGAGATCGTTGGCTATTTCCTAGAATATCTGGTCAATCTTTGGACGTTGTGCTCGGGAACCATCGAATCCCTTCTTTCCGACAGCATACGAGAGTGGAAGCGTCTACCAATTTTTCGGTTGGGACCCAAACGGCGAATTCGCTGAACAGGACCTGTCAAAAGTTCAAGGTCTCAAAAAGCTACAAGGCTTGTCATTGTATAGTTCCTCGCTCGCATGGGAATGGTGTCGCTTGAACGATCTGATCAGTTTGCACCTTGGACTGTACTGTCAGGTCCCATCCGCTGATCGAGCTCGGGGGGAGACATGTCATATCACCACCTTGGTAGTTGAACGATCAACCAAGATCCTGACCGCACTCTCCGCCGAAGGACGATAATATCAAATCGTTCTTGAGCCGACTGCCGAAGCTGAGGACCTTTGAGATGGTGCTGTTCGATCAATCTTTTGACTTTGGCCAAGGCATACTGCGTCCGTACTTGGGACCAGGTGTGCAGGCTCATTTCGACATTTCAATCGATCAGATCGAGCCTCTTACTAAAAGCCTCGAGCATCTCCAGATCATCGACTCGGAGAGCAGAGTCCCAAACTATTTCGACTATGTGTCACCAGTGACCACTCTTGTGCACTTCGAGAATCCACGTGTCTTCCACATCGCCTACGAATTACTCGTAAGCCGGCCTCAATATGGAAGACTGCCCATCGAAGATCTCCTGCCCGAAAAACTCGAGGTACTATTCATAGAACGACCTCAAGTGGGAATCACGACAGTACTGGACGAGATTCTACACTTTAAAGCACATTCCTCGACCCTTAGGCAAGTCGAGTTGTACCCACGCAACGATCGTGGTGATGATTGCGAGACCTTCAAATACAAGTTCCATGATACTTGGCAACGCTTGGAAGATGCAGATATATGCTTTTAGATATGGTGGCACGAAGACGACTATCGCCAGGACTAGGACGACTTCCGTTCATATGTGATATTGTGGACTTTCTCGGCAACTTGTGCTCGAACGAGGGAATGTGGAATGGTGCTGTGGGAGCATGAGTGGTCAGAAAGATCACATTCTTTGACTGATGAAAATGACTTGGAACTTTCAACGCCAAAAAGGGATATCTGTGATCGTGTAGCGAAGTACAACGGTGTGAGGTATTCGCTGCTCCAGTAGCTTCTTCGAACGATTAGATTCTCGTAATTGCAAGGCTCTCTCACTGAACATTAATTACAGCCGTCATCGAATATGCTCATCCAACCCCCTCCCACCCGCCTCGTGCGCTACCTGCGTGCCATATAATTCCTGCGCACCAGTATATCCATGATGCCCCCCTTGCTTTGGCGCATCCTGCACCGCAGAGTATTCTGGTGGCTGGTACTGTGCTACCGGTGGACCATTGTTAACCTCCGATGCCCGCGCTTTGCGTTTCTTCGAAAGCTTGTATAAGAAGAACGCGATCACAATAAGAGCAACTAGCGCTAGACCGCCAAGTACACCTCCAACGATGGCACCGATGGGTGTGCTTGATTTTCCTCCACCGGAGGAAGCAGCTGCACTAGACGTCGCAGCGGCAGATGCAGACGTGGATGTAGTCGCCACAACACTCGACGAAGCGGCCACAGAACTGCTCGCAGCGGTACTCGACACAGACGCTACCGAACTCGAAGCCGACGGGTTCAGCCGCAGTTTGAAGCCCCGACTCGGCGCTTGTCTGCCCCCACTCGCAGCCTGGATATAATTCGGCGGATCCCTAGCCGGCACGAAACGAAACACGAATTCATCGTCGCTCTGGACCGTGGACGTGGGGACGTCGATTGTCCAGCGGAATGTATTCGCTGCGGTTGTCGTGTTTGCTACACATAAATTAGCCCCGTTACATCTCAGCCTCGCGCCGGCGGATGTGTTTTGAGGCGACGGCAACGTACCGAACACGACTTTCGTGTACGAGTCGGAGTTGTACCATGTTATGAACAGATCGACGTAGACGGGATCAGCGCCTGCGCCGGTCCAGGCTGATGTCCATGCGATGCTGAGAGGGTTGCCGAGGGTGTACGTGTACTTGAAGTCTGAGCCGTCCGGGGGAGTTTGGATTTGGTAGTCTGCTGCCACGAAGCTCTGCAGCAGACTCAATGAGCATGCACATAGGAGGGAAATTAACATAACGGCGCAACCAAAGCGGCGTGTCGCAGAAATTGAGAAGAATCACGTTGGATCGATGAGGCTGAAGAAATCGCCAGGACGCGCGCGAACGATAACAAGGCGCCTATATACTGTACCACATGGCCACGACGACTATCGCGTAGCTGCATGCGATCTGTCTCTTTTCGTCTTTATCGATTTTCGAAGTTCCAATCAAGCTTCGGCCTTTCTACTCAAGCTTCATCTGGGCCTTGGGGGCCGAATTGGCTGGCGATGAGGTGCAGCAAGGCTGAAGGATTAGAGCTTAGCGCCGGTCTCGAACGCATTGAAACGTGGATCTGGAAGTTGCGACGAAGGGAGTCGAGACCTACTTGATGGCTATTACAGATTCACGAAGCGCTACACTTTGCTGTTACCTGCGAATCACGGTGGTTGGTCGTTCGCTCACCTTTCGCTCTCAGCGGAGAGGTCGCACTCGAACTGTTAACGAGGATCAAGCAGTCTCGGTGCATAGAAGCCTTCCTCCAGCTTCGTTGATTGTAGGTTTGATGTTGTTTGGTGCTGCAAATACCATCAAGTATACAGGTTATGGCTGTACACCCAGCCGTGCTGTGTCAGCGGCCGGGCCCTGAAGTATGAACTCAAGCACGGCACTGATGACCTTGGGAAGACTTGAAAGAAAGGAGGACGAGAGAAGAAGATAACTAGACAAGAGCGAAAATTCTCGAGTTCTCAGATGAAGTGGCAGCTTGCGTGCTGTGTGGAGTCCTTTCGAGCAGCAAAAGCGGGGTCGTAAAGCGGACCAGTCGTACCAGTGTGCGCACCTAGCCAATCTAGCAGCTCAAAAAGATTTCGAGCCACGCATGCTCCTCGTATAGTAGAACGCAAGATGAATGCAAAAAGAATCATGACCCTATTGCGATTCGAACGCAAAACCTTCAGGATGTTCCGGTGCTGGACTGGAATCTGACGCGCTACCGTTGCGCCATAAGGCCAGTCATTTGGTGCATTTCCAAAATTGAACAGTATATATCGAGATGTTTTTCATGTTCTCATCATCGCTGTGAGCTGGCGAAATAGAATTTGGCGCATCTATTGCTGTTTCAAGGATGGCTGAGGGGCACTGGTGGGGGCCGCGACGCTTTTTGACGCGTACGGGTTTGGAGCGGGGAAAGAGCGGGGTCGGAAAGAGCAGACTGTGGGACGTGGCTGGGGCGCCAAAACAGTTCCGCAGCTGCCTCTGAAACACCAAGCCATGCCGCGCCGCCCCTTAAGCCTTTGGCGATATATAGAGAGCGCTAGCACGTTCGCGACATTTCCGACTGTTTGCTGTTCTACGGAGTACTACTCACCCACATTGCTTGATTTCGCCACCTCCCCTTTTACTCTGAGGACGAATCAGGTTGCGCAATAGAGTCGGCATTTGATAGGCGTCTTCCATACAGCACAACAACCACGACGCAGACATGGACATCTGGGGTAAGCGGTCTTGCTCGGAGGCCGTTCTGAGGTTAGTCCCAACTACTGCATATTCGACCCACATCTGATCTTCGTCTCAGGTCTTACAAGAACGGCGACTTCAGTGATCTCACGATTACTTGTGGCGGCCTCACGTTCAAGGTCCATATCGTCGTCGTCTGCTCCTCATGCGATTTCTTCAAGCGAAGCATCCGATTTGCCGTAGGCAAGGAAGCCGAGGAAAAGCGTATCGACCTTCCAGAAGATGATCCTGAAATGATCCGACGTCTAATCACTTATCTTTATGTGGGGGACTATGACCCCAATAACGGACAGAATTTCTCCCAGTTGCTCACTATTTCCCAGCATGAATCTTCCACTAGTACACCAGCGACACATCACTCACGTTACCGCAAGGAGACACGATCAAGCGGTATCGCGGCCTGGCAAGACAATTGTGCTTGCCTTACGCCTTATGCCAAAAGCAACCTGCAGCCCGTCACCGTGCTCAGTGGGACGAAAGCACCAAGCGACTACAAAGTTGTTGCAAAGCCAGAGAACGCGAGCGAAGTGAATGAGCCTTTGACGATCCATGCGACTATGTATGCGTTGGGCGATAAATATCAAGTCGAAGGCCTGTGCGACCTTGCGAAGGAGAAATTCCGAAGCTGTCTGCATCATCACGCACATTCTGAAGACTTCATCTCTGCGGTTCAAACAATACACAGCACGACTCCAGAGTCTAATCGCGGGCTGAGGGATGTCGTAGTGTCCGCGTTCCGATCGCAATTCAATGTAGACATCAAGCAGATACCCGGCGCCGAAGAGAAGATGGATTCGATCGATGAGCTCTCGTTTGCTCTCATCAAGTCGTGGCCAGTGAAGACGGAGCCTGCTAAGCTCGCTGCTCCTGCTCAGAAGACCCCGAGTGCCTTTGAGGGCTGGGGATCCCAAGCTTCAAACACGTCTTCGGCCTTCGGAGCGGCGCCTTTTACAACTTCGCTATTCGGCAGCTCAACCGTCGACGCTGCCACGTCAAACTCTTCTGGGGGATTATTCGGCGGCGCCGGTCGGCCTGCTACAACAATAGGGTCATCCACATTATTTGGCGGAGGTAGTCAGCCTGCTGCAGCGACAGGATCACCTACCTTGTTCGGCGGACAGCAATCGACCAGTAACACTTCGCTGTTTGCGATTTCGAGGCCGTAGACCGTTTCGAATCTGATCGCAGATCGCGCTTGAAACCTCGAACACTTGCGCTCAAGGCGGATAGTGAAGACGTAATATCTTGTAATATCTGTGTTGCTATCGCATCCATCATGCCGTCCTGTACGGCGCATTGTTGTTCACGAAATTTCTTGTGTTTGCGCTCCGCTGGGTGATTTGAGGTTGCACGAGACGCTCCTCTGCATTCCTCTCCAGCCTTCCGCCTTCTAAATCCGAACCGCAACCGATCGCAACTTGCGCATTGCACTGCGACTACTCAAAAAGCTGCAACCGATTACCATATCTTCCGCATGCGATAGTTCTTACCCTACAAACATGGCAAAGATGTATCCTCATATCGTGTCCGTCGTGCCGTCCTTGCGAGGAACCCTGCCAACTCTACATCGCCGTCCAAAATACATTAAAACATACATTCACGAAGCATACTTTACACGCATCATTCAAGTACGCATATCAAAAGTCAGCATAACATGACATCCTCCATCCATCGAGATAATGACATTACGCTCCCGCATGCTGGACTGCTTGCATACTTTCAACATCCTGGACCAATACAGCAATCCGAAATCTCTGCTCCACCACCATATAGCGGCATCGAGCAATTGAACGAATCGTCAAGTCCACGAGCCAGCGATGACAAGGCCGAAGAGGATGATGACGAAGAGTGGAATCTTGGTTTCTGGGGCGAGCACACGCATTGCAGCACCCGCAGAACGAGCGCACCCAGGCCAAGCCCACTCCGAGCGTCCTCGCATCAGCAACACAGCATATGGGCTTTCTGCTGCTACTGGTGCGCCGTCTCGGTCTGTATACTAACTGCATTTGGCGCCTTCGCTTTAGATTTGGTCTTTACACAATTTGGCATGGGCACGGGCATGGCGAGGTGGATAGTTCATGGCAATGGTAATGAAGATGTGACGAGCTACGATGTAAGAGCAATATTCTCATATCTTCATGTAACGCTGGCTAACGAAGTGCCTGTTGTAGATGCACTTCTGCCTCACTTCGCCGAATCGACAAGCACCCGGCCCGCAATACTGGCGATACATCTCGACTGATCCGTTCAGCAACTGTGCGACTGAGATCGTGACACTTTCGGCCATGTCGACGGAACAGTGGAAGCTTTTTTTGGATGACATAATCGTCGTTGAGGATGACATGCCCATGATCTCCGGTTACGATGGTATGGAAAGCGTAGAAGAGAAGATACGGCTCGAGGAACTAGGGGATAACCTCGCCAAGGAAGGCGCCGCGCTTCGCTAGCCAGCAAGCCAGGCAATACTATAGTTTGGGAGATTAGAATAGGACTGTCTCATATCGCGTGTGAAGATACGTTGCCTCTTGTGTACGGATCTTTTGAATTGAGTGTTCCTTTATACCACATGGTTACCGCAACGCTAACTCAATGTCCACCTCCTTTCTATTGTTGAGGCCGAAATAGTCACAAAAAGGATAATCTTGGGCTGCTCATGGGACGAATTTGGGGTTGTGCGTCCCTGGACCATGAAACGGTCACCAGGCCTTGCATTAGTTCATGTCCGATCAAGTGAATGCTCCCTCTGTAGACCACGCTGGTGCGACACCACGTATGACCTCGGGAACCTTTGTCTGTAGGAATGCAGTTCGCGAAGCCATCTGGAGATATCTTGGCTTCTTTAAGATGGCAAAATTGCAGGTGATCGCTTCGTCACCGCCGTGCTGAACGGAACTGTGGCCCCTAGTGCGGTGAGTGACCGCACTGCTGGAAACACTGGATCAAATGCTACCATGGTTGTTACACCTGTGGGTCACTAGATAGCCGCGCTTCACATGGATGTCTGTCTACACATATAATCCGGCCCCACCACACAGTTGGTCCACGAGACAGAAATTCGTAAATCAGCCAATTTTCAAGGGCTACTACCTCTTCAACCACCAGCCCAACGCTTACAATTCTACAGCCACGAGCATAATAGAGAGAACTTATAGGATCGACGACGACGTTGACTTCTTGTCCAACTACGCCTCATTCGTCACGCTGCCGGGGGAGATTCGCAATCAGATCTACTCCAACATCCTCGAAGTTGATGATAGCACAACCACCTCGACTAAGCTTACTCTCGAGGACTACAAGGGCCTGATTTTGTCCTGCAAACAGATCTATAGAGAGTTCGAAGGTCCGTGGGCCAAGTGGACAAACACATTGTTCGCCGGCTATTGCGAAAACACAATGCTTATCGCACCAACCGTCCGTAAATACGAACATATCACGAACCTTGATGTTACGATCTTCCTCACGACGAGAAATAGAGCTATACACCAAAGCGGTATAAGCAGTACCCGCCTGGGCCTCCGCTATCGCACGTCTTGTGCCATAAAACAAATCTTGCAATGTACATACACAGTTACTATTTATCCGGACGCGACATTCAGGCCATGCCCTGAAGATGGCGATTGCAGGACGAAACTCAGCACGCCTCAATATCGCCCGGTGCGCTCGTCTTGCGAAGCACTAAATCTATTGCAAGCTATTTGTAGCAAGCAGCCCGGTTGTCGGGTCACAGAAGTCATGTATGCGAACTCTGCATGGTGGTTCTCATACAATGCAGTTGCGGAAGAGGAAATTTTTAGAGGCGGAGGTGGCGATTATTCGAAGCGCATGCCGACCTGAATTGAAGCAGCCTTATCAATATCTGGCAGGTACTGAACAACATGATGACGGATGGGTTGAGGGTGTCTGCAAGAAATGTAGGACATCATGAGAAGGGCGCAAGATGGCTACGGAGCCTTGGTCTGAAAAGAATATGTAACTACTTCAGCATCATTGGAGCCAATTGGTGTGTAACGAGTTGGCGCTAGGCTTTGCGAGAGAAGCGTCGAGGCCTGTATTGGGTTCGGGTTAGCATGGATGATTCCAGGATTTGGTAACATGACATGTTGTGAACTTACTCGTCAGCGTGAGGAAGGCGAATGACGATAGATTGTATTCTTGCTTCGTTGAAAAGTTAATTGTGCATAAACCTGGGATTTGCAAAGACAACACTCACATTACGCACCGTGATTTCGCGAGACCTGCCCTCCTCCCCTTTCCCCACGGAATTAATGCAGCTCAACCCCAAATCTCAACACCTACCTTTGTAACATCTGACCCTGCCCAGTCCAACATGTGCAATAATGGTAACTTCCGCAACTGCCTCACCATGCTTCTTGGAAATTACCGTTCCTGACCATGTCTCGCGCATTCGTCCTGCCAAGGATGTTGTCAACGCTTGAAAGCTACAAGATCGGCGGGTGATCGACGGACCCCTGCCGATCGCGTCCACGCTTGGTG